GGGGGGGGGGTTAGTGAGCAGTCGTGGCTCTGAAATTAAACAGTTGCTGGGACAAGCTTGATCTCAATTAAGCGGAAGTCAAGGGCCTACATGTAGCCTGAGATCCAAGGAGAGCCACAGGGATCAGGCTACATGTAGTCTACTCCTCAGTAGTGACGGGCTCAGGCGCGTTCGCAGCTCCACGTGCCGAGCCCGCCAGGAAGCTGGCAGCGCCAATCACAGGCACCGAGACATTTCCCGATCTCTGCAGCTGCGGACCGGCATAATGTCTCAGTACCTGTGATTGGCGCTGTCGGCACGTGGAGCTGCAAACACGCCCGAGCCCATCACTACTCCTCATTAGGGAAGTATGGCCTTCTCCGTGCCAGTGTCCTAGTCGCAGACCTCCAACAAACCTGTTGTAAATGAGTGTCAGCATTCCTTATCGCTCTGTGTCCAGGTCAGTGACTCGGGAAGCAATGAAGCCAAAGCCTCAGTGTGAAAGCCAGAGAACTAGTATCCTCAAAAGGAAAGCTCAGCAGTGTCAGTGTCCATGCTGGCGGGAGAGGTTTAGGGGAGGGCAAGTTCACTTTTTAACCTCCCTGGCGGTCTGATTTTTCTTTTATTATTCTTTCCCGCCGGTTCCGCGGACGCTCGCAAGGGGCGGAAGACAGATACTGGCATCGGTCGGAGGACACTCTCGTAGGGACAAGGTAAGTGACGCGCAGTGTAATCCTGGGTGTGGCTCAGGGGTTACTGCTTTTGGTACTGAAAATTAACCCCCGAGCCACACTCTGGATTACCGCCAGGGAGGTTAAAGATGGCGTCCAAGATGAAACAAAGTAAAATACATCTTATGTTGTGATTGTTGGGTGGAGATGGAAACTAACTGGCTCCACCACAAGCAAAACCTAACTCTCTCCTTCATTACTGTCTTTTAGATGAAAAGATCCAGGAGCTAAAACACAACTACGAGCTGTTCCTGAGTTCCCTGCAGAAGTGAGGACTGATGGATCTTTAATATGATGCCCACCACAGATTGCTGCGCTGCGGCCGTTTCCTCCATAGCTGCGCTGCGGCCGTTTCCTCCATAGCTGCGCTGCGGCCGTTTCCTCCATAGCTGCGCTTCTATGCAAGATAGGCAGATCGTACGTTTTTTTAAGTACCTTACAACCATCGCAAGACAAAAGTCTTGCGATGGTTGTAAGGTGTGTGCCCAGCCTTAGCCTCCCATCATCAAGGAGACTTTCCTCAAACGCCTTCAGGAGGAGGATGATATCATCAGCCTTGTAGAAGCTCCAACACCATCTGAGCCTTCAGAGTAGGACTCCCGGAAGATTGGAGCAAGGGCAGTAAAAGTGGGTTGGGGTGGCCTAGCAGGAGACCTTGTCATTTTGCCTCCTCGGCCGGAGGACACAGCGGGGCTCGTAGGGACAAGGTAAGTGACGCGCAGTGTAATCCTGGGTGTGGCTCAGGGGTTACTGCTTTTGGTACTGAAAATTAACCCCCGAGCCACACTCTGGATTACCGCCAGGGAGGTTAAAGATGGCGTCCAAGATGAAACAAAGTAAAATACATCTTATGTTGTGATTGTTGGGTGGAGATGGAAACTAACTGGCTCCACCACAAGCAAAACCTAACTCTCTCCTTCATTACTGTCTTTTAGATGAAAAGATCCAGGAGCTAAAACACAACTACGAGCTGTTCCTGAGTTCCCTGCAGAAGTGAGGACTGATGGATCTTTAATATGATGCCCACCACAGATTGCTGCGCTGCGGCCGTTTCCTCCATAGCTGCGCTGCGGCCGTTTCCTCCATAGCTGCGCTGCGGCCGTTTCCTCCATAGCTGCGCTGCGGCCGTTTCCTCCATAGCTGCGCTGCGGCCGTTTCCTCCATAGCTGCGCTGCGGCCGTTTCCTCCCAACACCGCTTGGTTCGGGTTCCGCCTTCTCGTGATCTTTGAGGACCATTCGCTAAAAGGAGAAAACCAGACCGGAATTTACAACCAACGACCACAACGGCTGGAGGGGCTTGTTGGGAAGCGGCAGATTGTCCACCATCACCGCGGCTTTTGTTGGCTGCATGGAGGTTCTCTCTGCCAAACAAAGGAACGCTATGCTTGTAGATAACAAATACCTGCTCACCTATACAATGGAAACTACTTCCTGTGTGGACACATTTGTACAATGCGATAGTAGAGAGCCAAGTAGAGTTTCTATTAGAGCTGCAGCTAACGATTATTTTCAAAATCGATTCGTTAGCCGATTTATTGAGTTCGATTAATCGGATAAAAAAATCAAATAAAATCAATTTTTAAAAATGGCTCCAGTGATGGGACTACTAGTTTGTATTGAGATTGTAGTCCATCACAGGAGCGAGCTTGGAGCGGTGGAAGTAAATAAGAAAAGAAAAAAAAGTGTGGTGTGCAATATAGTGAAATGAAAAGTGTAAAATTATACAGCAATGAATGCAGAATGGCACCGGCTATAGAGGACTACAAAGCCCAGCAATAGTACATTATACAGCACAATGCAGAATATCACCAGCTATAGAGGACTACAACAAATGCCAGCAATGCATTATAGCTGGCGGTATTCCGCATTGCACTGTATAATGTACTATTGCTGGGATTTGTAGTCCTCTACACTGCGCAATGCAGAATACCACCAGCTATAGAGGGATACGTTACCTGAGCAGTCTGAGATCGGGCCTATCGGCGATTGTCATCCCCCCACACCTGCTCCTCCTTACTTCTTCTCCCCACGTCCCTGTGCCGATCGTGGATGTGGGAGGGCGGTGAGCGTGAGGCGGGGAGGAGGTGCGGCGTGTGGATGCGGGCGGGGAGGAGGTATGGCGCGCAACGTGTGTGGAGCCGTGAACAGGGCCAACTAACCAGAAGCCGATTAATCGATGATTGAAAAAGTTGATTCTCACGTGTTTTATATGTATAGTATGTTATCATTTTGGAAGAATAAATATTTTGTACATTTATTGTAGATTTGAGGTTGATATTCGTATATGTTACATTGTCTATGTATTAGGGCTGCAGCTAACGATTATTTTCATAATCGATTTAGTTGGCCGATTTTATTAAGTTCGATTAATCGGATAAAAAAGAAAAAAAAAAAGGCTCCAGTGATGGACTACTAGTTTGTATTGAGATTGTAGTCCATCACCGTGAGAAGTGAACAATCTAGGACAACATAGCTGAACTGGAAAGTGAGCTGAAGTGGAGAATTTTTCCAAATCAGCTATTTTGTCCTAGATTGTTCCCTTTTCCTGCCTCCAAACGCTTCACCCTTTTAGAGATCTCCCCGTAATGTTCCGATAGGGGGGGGGTCAGGGGTGGTGAAGCCAGAAAAGCTGGTGATGGAAGTCTTCCACCACTCGCTTAATCTGCAGTGCCCTCAATCATCCTGAATTGCTTTGCGTCCTATCCTCCATGCTGTGCTGCCCAGGTCGACTGGGACAAGTAAACCCCACTTAAAGGAGAACTATGGGGGGTCAGTGTTTTCCCCATAGTTCTCCTAAGGGTCACAAACCAGCGTCTACAGCAGGCAGATGCAATAGCCAGCCTGCTATTGCAATTTGAAATATCCAATAGACTATAACTATTGCTCCCAGCAATAAAATAAAAAAGTTAAATTAAAAATGCAAACAAATAATAAAAAAATAAAGTTATTTTAAATAAGTTTTGTTTTTATTATAATCTTCTGAACAACGGGAACAGACAGCAAAACACTTAAAAAATGTTCCTGTTCAGACTTGCATAAAAATTCAACTTAAAGGAGAACTATGAGGTCAGGGCTTTCCTTAGGGTAACGGGAGGACACAAACTAGCGTCCTCCCGTCACCCTAAGCTCAGTATATAGGGAGCTACAGCTCGCGGTATACTGAGGCGCCGCAGCCGGGACGGATCCCGACATTACTGTGAGTGACAGCTGGCTCCTCCTATCTAGAGGCAGAGCCAGCTGTACCCGCCCCGTCCGTTCCTCCAGTCAGCGCTGGAGGATCGGAGCGGGAATCCCTGCAGTCACGGTTCTCTGCAGGGATTGGATCGAGAAGTGAGCGACAGTGTGTGTTCCTTCACTTCCCAATCTATTGAGCCGACCTGTGAGTCTCATTGTCACACGTCGCCCCCCAAACTATGAGGATCAGTGATTTTCACTCACCTCATAGTTCTCCTTTAAGTACAAACCTCCAATCCCTATCTTGTATGTAATTCTCATGTTACCAGTTTTATTTATCAAAAGACAAGAACAGAAGACAGTCACATGGTTCCGGGTGCACATCGGCGCGCGCCGGCAACCTTTACCGACTTCCTGTACATGTTTTATCTACAATCAGACGGGACGCTTGTGGGAAATACGACAGAGAGAGGTGTGTGAGGACGCTGTTACCTTGCCCCCAGTGTCTGTGGCCCCTGACCCAGGGATACTGATGAGGTGAGAATTCAGGGGGCCCCGTTGGGGGGGACAAAGTGTCTCTTATAATGACAATAATCACTTCTTCTTGTTGTTGGGCCTCTTATTTTTACTCTTCGTGGGATCGGCGGTTTCGCCCACAAAACTCGTCTTTTTCTTTAGTTTCCCCGGTTTCTGGAACTCCGGCTTGTGGTTGGCGGCCGCGTCTTTCTTTGGGTTCTGCGCGCCGCCCGGCAAGCAGCGTTTCACTCGGATTTTTCTCCCCAGCAGGTCGGTGTTGTTCAGCTTCAGAGCCAATTGCGCCGCATCTGCACCCTGCCGAAGATTCAAAACGTTTGTCACCGCCGAACGTTCTATAGAAACCTCAACGACGAGCTTCTCTCTATACGGTGTGTTAGAGGAACCGCCCCGAAAAGGAGCGTCTCCCCAAACACGGGCAGGTCACCTATCAAGGTTGTATGCATGCTTATTTCAGCTCTCAACCGAGCATTCAACCCCTCCCATGGGCGGTGTCATAACTGATCACATGACCAGGACCAACTGCAATCCAAGATGGCACCTTTCTTGGTTGTGAGAGATAGGGGTCAGGCAACCTCGGCTCTCCAGCTGTGCTGAAACTACAAATCCCATAAGGCATTGCAAGCCACAGGCATGACTCCCAGAGGCAGAAGCATGATGGGATTTGTAGTTGCAGCACAGCTGGAGAGCCGAGGGTGTCCACCCCCCTGAGATAGGAGGGGTTAGTTCCGCTTTAAATAAACCAGTGTAAGCATTTTGTTACATCAGCCGGATTTCTGACACTTCCTCAAACAAACTCCAAACGTTGTGTCGTCCTCTCCCCTCCCCCCTCTCTGTGCTGCATTGTTCCCATTTTCCTCAGTGGACTACATAACATCTCCCCCCAGTGAGGAAAGGTGTCCTGTAGTCTCAACACTTCCTGTCCTTGGGTGACAATGTTGCCATACAGTGAGTGACCGTTGTCACCCTCGAACAGAAACATTTCGGTGACTCTGCCCCTATAATACACTTCACATAAAGACATCGACTTGTAGAAGAGGTCGGGGGAGGTCTGTATGCCGATCATGTCACTCCCAGACGTAGAGGGAGGAAAACAAACACTTCCAGTAGTGCCGATCTCTTGGGTCCCCCTGCTGACCTCAC